GCAACTATTTCTAAAATGTATCAAGAGCTCTAAAACTAGGTGTATGAAATCTATACAAAGCTCTAATAAAAAATTATTTAAAAAATTATTTGAAAAATTATTTTAAAAATTATTTAAAAAATGGCGCGCTACCTATGGAACCTATATAAATGGAACCGATATCTTTGAATCGTATTCTTGAAGACATAATTTGACATATTCTTGAGACGAAAATCCTAATACGAAAATGTCGAGACTACAATAATTTTTTTAATTATAAGCTAACTTTAAATGCTTAAGAGTCAAAAACCATTTTACTTTTATAGTCTCTATCATTATTTCTGAGTTCCTTTAAACATTCTAAGACGAAATTCTAATATAAAAATATCGAGGCTATAATAATTTTCGAATTACACTATCTTTAACCAATTATTATTCAAAAACTAGCATCGATATTTTTGTATTAAGATTTTCGTCTCAAAATTACTTCAAGAATACGTTCTTAAGAGGAAATGTGGTAATTGTGAGACACCCTGTGTGTGTGTGTGTGTGTGTGTGTGTATATACACATATCGAAAATGTATACATCACTCTGAAAAACTTAATTTTTTGAATAATTAGGAGCTGACCTCACAGAGGTTGAAATCTAAAATGTTAATTAATAATTTAAATATTTTACTGTATTTGATGTCTTACGCTTCCCACTGAGAAATACGTACATTCTCTCTCTTTCTCTCTCTCTCTCTCTCTCTCTCTCTCATCGTCTCTCTTTATCTTTTCTTCTTTTCGAATTTTGAGCGATTCAATACACATGTGACAGTTTCTTTTTATTCTTGAAGAAATAAAAGAAATTTCCATATATTTTTAATCTCAAAAAGCAATATATCATCTCTTCCCTTTTTCCCTACAGCATGTATTAAATTACGTAGAAAATTTTTCACTACATATCGTTTTATTTGCGAAATAATTATCGAGTACTGTTTCACTCGCGAGCATCATTTGTGTAACAGCCGTTCAAACGATAAATCAAAATAAGAAATGCGTAGAAACAAGACGATGGATGAATGACGCATGTCGTTTGATGTGCAACGTTCAAGGATAGGGGTCAATAATCCGCGGCCCGTGGACTTTTACATGAATAAAGAACATGACATTTACATGAATAAAAATATCGTGAAAATTTAATTTCTGCTTTATTAAATGTATATGTATATATAAGTACCTAATACCCTTGATTTTTTAGATTGCAAAGCCAAAAACGTTTAACCTGACTTTAGAAGTTCGCCAAATCCTTTTCAAAGTACATCTACATTTTCGCTCCTATAAGAAAATCTTTACGAGCTTTTTTTCAGTTCAGTTTCAATAATTCTTAATACTATAAAAAAATGGATGCAGAATTCTAGTTAATATTAATCCCCCACCATGATTAGTTGTTATTATGCCAAATAGTTGTTATTGTGCCAAAAGTTTTACTAATAGCATTCTGCGTATCCTTGACGTAACGTTTCATTCATAATTTCGAAGAAAATTTGAATCATCTGAAAACTTTTGATAATTGTGAAAACTTTTTAGCGCTGATTTAACTCTTTTATTCCTGCAATATTTAAGAAAACAGATACCTATTTGTATTTTTAATAATGCTCTATTTACCGAGAAGTTTTTAAATAATATATAGATCCATTTATACAAGACTTTAATAAAAAAGAAATTATGATATTCACAAATATAAATTCACATAAATAATGAGAAAACAAACTACAGATGATGATCATTTTATTTTAACTCTAATTATAAATCATAATTACAAAGCAAAGGGGAGAATTACTCTCGAGATTCATGTTTGAAGATATACGGTTATTATAAACATAGGTTTAAAAATATTATACTTTATAAAATAATAATACTTTAATAAAAACAGCTTAGTTATTTTTATGATTATTACCCCCCCCCCCCAATACCAGAAAAATATTCTCCAAATAAATCTCTATTTTAAACTAAAGTAATTAAACTGACTGACTTGAACCAACTAAAATAAATCTCTATTAAACTGAAGTAATTAAATTGACTTAAGTTAACTAAAATATGCAGAATCTCATTAAAGGAGCAACGCAAAAATGCTTTGGAAAATTTCGATCTTTTCGAAGATCAAAACATAAAGAAGTGTCTTTCGTTACGAAAGGTCTACGGGAGCAAAATTGTGAAGCAGGGATGCAATAAATTTCTGCATGTGTGTTGCGAGTTTGATAGCTAGTGTTTTATTTTTGGATTTGGATCGTAGGTTTCGAAGTGCACATGCATCTTTGCGTCATTTCTAAATGTCACTTTAAATGCCTGGTTACATTACCAACACTGTGCTTGCGGGTGTCGATGCACAGGCACGTGTAACCGCGTCTGCGATAATCATTCTTCTGCTCACAATCGTCCACGTGCAACATCGTCACGCGAATTTCATGTAAGCGCTAACGGGATCGACGCCTCGTCTAATAGTGCATGCGACTAACGGAAACCGTGATCGCCACGTATTTATCGAAACGCGAAGATTTCGCGGGATAGTGCTTCTAAGATCTATTGCGGCTTCATTTTTATAAAATAAAAACCCACAGATGAGGAGATAAACGGGACACGCACTGAATCGTAGCTAACGGGAAACTCGCAGGGCGAACCGGTGCGCCCATTCGTTCGATTTCCGAGAAAACTTTATTGAAAAAAAACTATTTTTCTTACGACTGCACAAGAACGTCAAGCGATTTTTCATTTCTTTTTCTTTTTAATTCTTTTTATAAGAAGATATTTGTTCTCTTCATAAAATTTTTTTAAAAAGATGCCTTTAACAAGATTACCGCAAATTCCTCATCCTAAAATTCCACGGCTTTTCTCCGATTTTCAGACACATGATTTTGCCCTGATACTTTCAATAGTATTTCGAAATTTTTTGTAGTTTCGCTCTGATTTGGAAACCATCAAATATTTTATTGAAAGAGCAATTTAACATAGCAATGTAAATTACTATTAATGCTGCTGATAATACTTGACAATTGTTAAGTTGGTAGTACGTGATGCAGGCATATTAAATTTCTTTAAAGCTAAGAATTTTTATTCTTCAGAAAATTTTGTAAAATAACCCAACTTTTTCTTGATTTTCCTGACCGTTTTCAATTTTCCTGCAGATTTCCATGCAGTTTTGTAGTAACTCTGTTTAACGCGTTCTTTCATTGCGACAAAGAACTTGTAACAAAGTCTGAATACGAGCGATTTTATCAAAATCCTACAAGAAAAAAGATATATATATATATATATTGGGTTGGAACAAAATTACATAGCGTTAATTCATTTGTATGTTCATTTGTCTACGTTTTTAAAAAAATTTGACAATTATACCATTCGATAGAGTAAAGTTTCAGTTTTAAAAATCTGTTGTTTAATGTTGTAGTACGATGACTTTTAATGGAATTATTAGCAATTAAGGATGTATTAAACGTACATCCCTGCAAAAAAAAATTAAATTTGGAAGTAGTTTAATATTTACGTTTAATATTTACACTTCAAATAAACTATATAGTTATGTGAATAAAATTATATTTTCGTTTAATAATACATTTTTGTAGTTCATTTATTTTATTTGTTATTATTTTTATCGTTAAACATTAAATTTTAAAAAATGATTAAAAAATTTATATTTTTTTTTATAAGTACTTTAAATATTCAAAATAATTTATACAAAATTTCATTGCGATTCACTGATTAGTTACAAAGATATAGAACGAATAAATATTTTGTTTATTTACTGGACAACTAGTTCATGCATCGCAACTTAACTCTACGTAAATAATCTTGAATACATAAGTAATGTCCTTATATTAAAAAATTAAGATTTTTATCATTTATCTTATAGTACATTTCCATATATTTTTAATTTTTATTAGAGAGCATAGATTAAAGCAATACTACTATTTATTAAAATAACTTATGATCCAGATAGTAAACCATCACCAAATTTGTCGTATTATTTTTAAACATGATTTAGAATAATCTGTATTTTTTTCATAATTTTATTGTTTTAAAAATATGTATAAAACATCCTTAAAGTTAAAATATTTCTTTTATTTAATCCGCAATAATAAAAACTCTTAAGAACATTTAAAAAAAAGATTTTGTAGG